GCAACAGAATTGGATTAAAGAAAGAAAGAGAGAGAGAGAAGGAGATTGTGTGGTGTGTCGGTATGGTAAATCGACGAAAGCAGGATGGTAAAACAGAGGAAAAAAGTGGTTGCGATCCTTTCTCGATCAGTTCTTTGGGAAAATTTATATTTTTCGTTGAAGAGATCGTGTATATTTGCAAAGGTTAAAAATTTTTGATCGAATATGACGATGTCGTCGAAGTAACGTGTGGATGTTGATCTGTAGAGATTTAATAGGTTATGAATATTAAATATATGATGGGTTGTTAGATAGAGTAAATTTAATTAAACTTTGGCCTCGTGAAAAGGAGAACGGTGAGAAAGAAAAAACTTGATTAGTAATTTTTAATAACTTTTAGTTTTTTTTAGAAAATATTCCGAAAAATCATTGCATTCAATTCGTTCGAATTAAAATCTTACGAATTATGTATATCGAATTATGTATGTTATTATACGCTTCATTCGAATTTTCAAATTAAGTTAGGTTAGGAAACTTTGGACACCGATTTCAAACAAACTTTCCATCGACGGAAGCAAATTGCTCCATGTATAACATTTCGTTCGATGTATTTCGAATTTTCAGATTAAATTAGATTAGAAACGATTCATTCTCTCAAAGGAATTTTGCAATTAACAAAATTAACAAAATGCTTAATAATACAATATACTTCATTCCATTCGTTTGAATTTTTTCAAGTTAAGTAAGAAAACGTTCCATCGACGAAAACAAATTGTTCTACGTAATATATTACGCTCTATATACATTTCATTTGATCCTTTACATCGATTTCAAAGAAATTTTCCAATCGACAAATTACTCCTAACCTAAACTTATTAGTACTTACATACACGCTCGAATTCGTTCGAATCCTTCATTTTTAGGTTAGGTACAAATTTCACAAGACATTCTTCTCTCGTCTTCGAATTTTCGCGACGAAACAGCCGGTGGATGAACGAGCACTTTCAACCGGACGATCGAAAGGATAAGGCGGGCGGGCGGACGGGTTAGAAAGTTGCATAGGGTCGGTGCACGTAGCCTTGACCCGTATTCAGGGGGCAGGTCAGGGGAGTGCGTCGGTACGGACGCGGCACAGAACGCTCGTTTCGTTCGCGTTGCGTGCACAGGAACCTGTTATCGTTATTATTCGTGATTCGCTCTAGGGGGAATAATAAAGACAAATCCCAAGGCCGTGCAAGATTTCCTACTCGACGTTTAATGCGTAATAAGTCGGTAAATGATTAAATTTATTTTTTATCGTTTTTCCTTGTAGCAATTGCGATTCCAAATTGATTTGAAAACCAATTTTTTCCACTCTGTCGGAAAATGGAATTGTAATTGCAATTATTATTTTTATTTTATTTTTTGCAATTCCATTCCCTTGCCTTCGAAGTAAAATTTTTTATTTTGTTAAAATGGAGTTGTTTAAGAATTGAAGCTAATTGGAATAATTATTCGATTTTTGTTTTTTGGAATTGCAATTCCATTCTTTTGCCTTTGAAAGAAAATTTTCAGGAATTGAAAATAATTAAAATCTTCGAACGCAAAATTGCAGATCGACCACCTTTTTTCCACCTTTTTTATTGATTCGATAAATACATCTCCAAATGAATGGAAGTTTCAAAATCCAAGAATGCACGAGCGAAATTACGAATTCCTCCGCGAACAGTAATAAAATAAACTTTGCACTCTGCCAAGATAATGAGAAAAAATCCTAATCTCTGCGTACACAGAAAATTACGTCTTTTCATTTTCATCGATATTAAAAATCCAACAATGGCGAATCCAAGCAGTGTTAATTACAAATTAACAGTAAACATTCCTTCATGCAAAAATCATAAATAATTAGAAAATAGGAAAGCGGAAATTCTCTTCTCATTTTTCACCTTCGTTAATCCAACAAACGTCCCTAAATATAATAAAAAAAAGTGACAATTTGAAATATCAAATGGTGGACGAGTTGGAATTGGCGAGAATCGAAGGTAATTAGAATCTTCGCCTGAAAAAAAATTACCTTTTATCTTAGTGTCCTCGTTAATTTGACAAACAACAAAAGTGATAATAATAAAAAAAAAATGATAATTTGAAATATCCAAGGATGCTCGGATGGAATTGCGAGGAGTATAGTAAGAGAAGGATGAAGGTGATGAAAAAAAAAAAAACTATCGAATTTAATTAAGGAAGAGTCGGTGAAAAGAGCGGTTCGGTGTTAAATAGGAATTCGGGAATTCTCAACGCGCATGCGCGTGCATGAAAAAGGAACGTTGGAAATTTCATAATTCCCTTGTCCATTCGGTTGGCTTGACTCGTGGGATTACACGAAACGAGGCAAAATTACCGACTTTTTCCTTATCTTCTCGTTCGTCCATTAGCAAAAATCCAGATCAACAATTTTTGAATATATTCCAAGGATATTTTCTTCTTCTTCTTCTTCTTGTTTCGTATCTTTGGCGAAGATCATTACTTTGTTTTATTCGTTTGACTTCGATTATATCGATTTGAAGAAATCTCTCATTTCTTTTTTTTTTTTCTACACATTTTTTAATTTTCGAGAGAGGAATTTTTTTTCAATTAGGTTAAGTTAGGTTTGGTGAAGATCATTGCTCGTTTTATTTATTTGACTTGGTTTCATATCATATTTTCTTGTTGTTTCTTTTTTTTTTTTTAATATTCTTTTTTCAGATTCGAGGAAAAGAGAAGAGTTTTCTCAATTAGGTTATGTTAGATCTCGTTTATTCTTTATATTTTACATGTTACATAAATATACATTTTATATATTTAATTCGATTAAGTAACGAATTTCTTCACACACGTGTTCTTTTGAAAAGATATTCGTCGTTTTTTTTTTGTAAATATTCTTTTTTCATCTTTCTTCATTTTCGACGAAGATTTTTCTTAATTTTCTTCTCGCGCTTAAGTCAGGTTAGGTTAGATTTCTATCTTCTTATCTGTTTCTGTATCTCCTCTAATCGACGTTTCTACGAATG